GTTGCGGATGATTGGTCAATTTATGGCAAAATAAAATAAATACTAGAAAATACTCTACCGTTAGAACAGCAACTACGCAAGCGATTGTAGTTACCCAATCATACAGGGCTAATTATTTAGTGACCGAAATTAGAAAATAAATTAAAAACTAGATACATTAATTACAGATATTTAGATATCTCAAACATCACATACCGGCTTGTGCTATTAAAACACTATAAAATACGAAATCTCCCAGTCCTAATTTCAACCCATTTCTTTCATCTAAATGTTTTAAAATCGATTAGATCCAGCTTGTGTGAATATAAATTTAAATTGATAAAAACCTTCTTCATCGTCGTCAGATGACTCATTATTATTTCCAGAAAGATTCTCGTCAGTATGAAGCGAGTTATATAAAGTATTGGCTTCACTGTTATTGCTAGCATTTATACTATAAGAATTATGAATCAAATTTTCTGATAAAGGCATATTTTCAACAGGTGGAATGATGGATGTATTTGTAGTGGATGCAGAATTTGGCGGTGAAATGAATGATGAGGGCGAAGAATCTGTATGTGATTGAGTTAAAGGTGATAAAGATGATGTGCCGGGTTGAATTTGATTCGAAATTTTAGGTGCGGCCATCAGCCAAATAGCATTCACTGATAAGAAATGATTAAGAACAATAAGTATAGATTAGTTTACATTATATTATATGTTTGGTCCTAAATAATGTACCTGAATATAGTAATGCAGGAATTTCGTGCTGATTCTCCTTTGATGATTCAACAAGAATACGTAAAGGTCCAAATGGACAGAGTACAGCAATCAGATCTTTTGGTTTTTAGAAATTCAAATCAAATTAATGTGATGTAAAATTTAAATCACTTCATATTTAAGATATTGTTTTATATATTACCCCAAATAGCTAACAAGGCTAACAAAATCCACGTAGTCCAGTAATTTAGTCCAGTCAATGAAAATGCCTACAAAATTAAAATAAAAAAACCATCAATGTCAAAGAAACCAATATAGCTTACCATATATTCGTGAAATACGCCTCTGAGCGTTATTTCGAAATAAAAGGTCAATTTCTAAGCATATCGTAAATCCGCTAAT